AATGTAGAAGCAGTAGCTTGCATTAGACCTACGTTTGGGAAGTTGAGGTTTTTGGCTGTCACCGTACGTGGAAGCACGCCTGCTCATCTCTGTGCGGCTGTTTCTCTAAGATCCCAGCTTCTGTGCTCATCTCTTGGGGCTCATCATGGTTCAGCACTCAGCGCTCAGACACCACTGCTTCGTTGCGGTCACAGTGTGATGCCAACAGTGAAGAAGGGAATGGAAGCAGAGACCTTTGGCTGTGTTGGTGGTAGGGAACCTCACCTCACTCCTGCTGTGTTTGGGACAGCCGTGGTGCCTCCCTCACTGTGGTGCTCCTGGGCTCTCAGCATGAGGAGAGGTTAAAGTAGAGGGGGATGTTTGCAAGATGCTGTGTGTCGGAAAAAGTAATGCGTGGTTAAACATTAACATGAAGCTCTCATGAGATTCCTGGCTGGCATGTCAACCACTGAGCGATAAAAGCTGATCCTTGGGTTGTAACATGGGCTGAACTTTAAAGAACAACAGCAAGGTGTGGGTGAAAACATGGGCAAAGGTTTGCAGAAGAGTTCCCCCAAACCCTTTCAAAGATTCTGCTCTCGGTTTCCGTACAAATCCTCTGCTCTGTTGCGTTGGCCAAGGGCAGTACCAGCTGGCTGATGCCCCGGCTGCCATCACATTGTCTCCTTCCCAAAGGCTGTAGGTTGCTGTTGGGATTGGGGCTGGGAACCTCACAGCCCCCAGGTACTGGAGGACAGTGGTTTTCCTGATGTTGTTCAGCTCTAAGCCACCGTCGGGGCCAAGAGCAGCAATAGTTGTGTTGGTATCACTGCGCTTAGTGATAACTGGCTGGGGGCTCCAGGCTTTGCTTGGAGATGTAGTGTCAGTTTGGGGCTGAAAAAGCAAACCAGACAAGCAAAGATCCCTGCACAAAGCGTGCCTCTGACTGAACACGAAGCACAAGGAGCAAGCTCACTCTGTGCCAGAGAGCAGCACAGCAGCGGGGCTGTGGGCACTGCGAGAGGTATTCACTGATTCAACTCCGACTGTTGTCCCCATGTGCACTTTGTGACACTTGTTCTGCCCTTAACGGCTCTGCTGTTTTCAAATCAAACTCCGTGTTTGGCCGTTTTTATCTCGATTGCCAACTCAATTGCCACTTTAACCAGGTTCCAGGAGTTGTTTTTAGCTGCTCGGGGATTCTGCTCACCTGATAGGTGCTGGAGGCATGAAAACAGAGCTGCGTTTTCATTTTATATTTCAGCTTTGTTTCCCAGGTCTCATCAGGGAGAACTGCTTTGCTGTGAGATCGTGGAGTCGTAAAGGTTGGAAAAGACCTCTAAACTCCCCAGGCACAACGACCCCTGCCCACTGACTGCATCCCTCAGTGCCACATCTCCACAGTTCTGGGGCAGTGACCCCAGCATCTCGGGGAGGCCCAGGCTGCTCGCTGCCGTGCTGTGGGTGCTGGGGGGTCTTCACTCCATTTTCTGCACACCCACAGAGGGGCTTCTGCTTCCCCCTGTAAATAGCTGGGATGGGAGGGGAGTGGGATGAGAACTTCAGGAGAGGGACACAGAAGGATCTGGGCACTGGGGCTGTGGTCAGTGTGGAGCCAGGCAGAGCTGCTCACCTTATCCTGTATTTATTGTTATATATATCAAAAGGTGTGCATGTGCCCATTTAGAGACATGCGTGAGTTTCTCGTGGTAAGTTTTCTGTATTCCTTGGCAAAAATTATCTATCAGTAAATTTTTCTATTTGGGAAAAACTCCAGGGGATTAAGAGTGGTTTCCTGCACAGTGCAAACAGCAGAAGGTCAGCGTGGAGGAGACAGGTCCTCGAAGGTCTGCCTTCATCTGCCCTGCTCCTGTATCAACACCAGAGCTCAACCTGCTCCTGTCTCCATGCACCCAGTTCTTCCCACAGCCCCCATCCTCCGATATCAGCCCCAAACCCCTTTATCTTTGCCAACCCATGGTGGTGCTGGGATGTCCCACTGCCATTTGGGATGCAGCCCTGCAGGACACATCGATCCCTCTTGGAACATCTGAGCCATTCGCCATGGCTTCATCCGAGCGTGTCACTTATGAAAGGGGCTGGAGGCAACACAAGGCTTCCCTTATCCTTACTGATACGTGAGATAAGAACTGTAATATTGTCCCAGAGAAATGTCAGTGGGAAACGTTTCCTTTACGTTTTGGTAACGGCGTGTTGTTTTTGGAAGCTGCTATCTGTGGGAAGGGAGGCACCTGCAGTTAATTTTATCTGTTCCTGTGTGAGGATGGAGCTCCCGGCGCTCCCAGCGCGCGGCTCCGAGGGCTCGGGGCGTGATGTGCTGCAATCTCTGCTTTATAAATAACACTTCAGTTGGAGTCTGGTTGCAAGGCCTTGAGTTCGCTTTGTGCAGTCGCTGCTGTGTCGGTGCGGGGCGTTGGAGCCTTGGTGGGTTCCAGTTAACAGCTCACAAACAAATAGGTGGTGGTGAGTTTAAAACAGAAAGTTGTTTCATGGAGAAGAATTACAATATAAGGCAGTCCCAAAGACCTCGGGGTGACGTGCTGAATTGGAAGGTCTTGACAGCTGGGTTGGGTTGACTTTGAGAAGCGATCGAGTTAAAAAACAAACTGATGTTCTATCTGATGTACTTCATAGATAACTGTATAAGGAGAATCCGTTCGGGGTTTCAATGCAGTCAGGGCTGGGTGCCCACAGAATGCAGGGAGCTGTGGCCGGGCTCAGGAGCAGACAGGAGCCGCTGTGCCTGGGTTGTGCTGTGCGAGTCCAGGGAGCAGCAGTGCAAACCCACCCAGCAGCCCGCAGGGAAAGCAGAGCTCACCCAGAGCGACTTTCACTTTATTTTACTTTGACCATTCTCTTGCTGGTGTTGTGTTAGCAGCGAGGTAGAAACAAGACCTAAGGTAGAAACAAGACCTAATGCGGGTGCTTTTAACCACACCTCGATGTTCAAATGGTGTTAATTAGCCAGACAGCCCCTTGCTGATTGAGTCTCCTGCTCAGCGCAGGTCCCCTGGCCACTTGTGCTGGTTGTGCTCACAGTTCCGTGTGTTCCTCTCCCACCTGAGGCCCAGAAGGGAGAGCCCTGCAGGTGGGAATTCCTTTGCGTTGACTTGGCTGCCTCTGCCCCCCTTTGCTGGGCCTCAGCTGTGCACAGAAGTGCCCGCCTGGCTCTGCAGTCAGAAGGCTTTGCAGGACGCATTGCGTCCCAGGTCTGCAGAGTGCCCTCACTGCTGGTTAAACATTGATCCGCCCCGACCAACAGCTGGGGGCCTGCGCTCCCCCGGCCCAGCGTGGATCTGCTGCCCTCCTCCTGGGCTGGGGGCTGTAAGGGCGTGTGGGAGCGAAGAGATGCTGGAGGAGTTTCTGTGAGGTTCTCAGGAGCTCAAAAATTGCGGTGCATCCCACTGTGTGTGCTTGGGTTTGAGAGTTTGTCATCTGGTCGGGTCTGCGGTGCTGAGCTTTTGCACAGAACGTGTATGGAGCACCTAATGGAGGGAATAGGAGCTCTGGCTGCCTGGCTGTCTTCGGGCTGGATTTTACACGTCAGAGCTCTTAGAGCAGGAAAGAGAAAAAAACATCCAGATCAACTGAAAAGTAGTTTAGCTGTACCTTCTGAAAGCCTTCAGAGTCGAGAGTTGGGCTGGTTTCTGCCCTGTGAATATGTGCAGCTGAGTTTGAAGATCTGTAAGTAAGCACAGCGCTTCGCAGATTGGTTTCCGTTGCAAACAGAACTGCTGTGGCACGGGGCAGAGGAGGCGCTCAGTGCCACTCCGGGTTTTGCAGAGGAATTGCTCAGTCTGCTCCCTGCCCCCCCTATCAGCCATGAGATTTCATCCTACGATCAGAGTGTTTGATAGATGTTGTGGATGAAATTCTGGAATTTTCTGTCTGCGGCCTCCTCTTGCCAATATCTCTAATAAACTGCAGCCGTGACATCTGTTGCCAGACGGAGCTCCGTCCACAGCCTCATCAAGAGTTAGGACCATCGTTTGGGAAAAGCCTCTCATTTTGTATGGTCTGCTGTGAGGTACCGTCCGCAGGCTGCTTTCCTTGCCCACTACATTTCGATCCTTTGCCATTTCTAAGTGATGAGTTCACAAAATGACACCAAGGGCCAGAGAAGGGTGAGAGCTTTGCATACACAGTGAATTTGGAATGCCCTCTGTGCTTCGTCTTAAGAGGCGGGCCTGGGGGATGCCCAGCACAGTACCTGAGGTGGCTGGTGGAGGAGCAGCAGATGTTCAGGGTCAGACCGACCTTAGGATGGAGCTTCAGCTGCAGCCAGCTCCTATTTTTCAAAGGCTTCATTGACTGCAATGAAGCAGAAGTTGCTCTCACCCACCTCTGCTGTTTGCTCAGGGTTGCACCGGCTGCTCGACGCGCTCAGTTCTGCAGCCCTGCAGCACGGGCTTCGCTTCCCCGCTGCTCTGATGGGACCTCAGCAGCACGCAGTGCCACGGGACCGGCACGCTGCGCTGCAGCTGAGTGCTGGCACACGTCTGCCAGGAGTTAAAAATAACACCGTGGTGCCTCAGCACGGCTGGAGCCTCCCCAGAGTGAGCCCCTCCAGCACTGCGTGGAGAGGAAAGGGTTTGTGTGGGGCTGTGGGGGAGAGGAGCTGCAAGGGGGGGAGACGTGTTACATGTGGACAGCAGTGGCTCCTTTACTCAATCTGCGTTCTTTTGAGGAAGGTTTGGGGATACTTCATGTTTTTTTCTTACTGTACATTTCACTTATCGTGGTCTGAGGCCGTGAAGAAACTCGGGTTGCTTTTTTAGAAGATGAGCGTGAATGAAGTTTAAATGCCAGCACACCTCCGGAATGTTCTTCAGATGTGGAATTGGTGATTGAGAAGTGGAGGAGCAGCAGTTGTGCCCTGAGGGCTGTGCCTTCGGGGCGAGCTGCGGGCAATGGGACGGCGCAGGGTCGCAGCTCAGGCTGTGCCGATCCCATCGCCGCGCTGCCTGCAGCACTCGGCTTTGTCCCTTCTCACTCTGCAGTTTGCCCACCTGCCTGCAAGTCCCAGGGCTGCACGTCGGACGGGCAGTGCTGCCACAGCGAGTGCCTCGGGGACTGCACGGAGCCCAACAACGCGGAGCGGTGCGTGGCGTGCCGCAACTTCTACCTGGACGGGACGTGCGTGGAGACGTGCCCACCCGGGCACTACCGCTTCGAGGGCTGGCGCTGCGTCACCTTCAGCTTCTGCCAGGAGCTGCACAACAAGTGCAAGAGCGCCCGCGAGTCGGGCTGCCACGTCATCCACAACAACGAGTGCGTCCACGAGTGCCCGTCGGGGTACATCATGAACTCCAGCAAGTAAGTGCGGGGCTGCGGGCTGGGTGTTGGCCTGGTGCTGCGTCCTGTGCTTTGCTTTCTTTTGGGTTTGGAGGATTTGCGGTCTGTGAGACCAAGATTTCCATGTTTGAGTGTGAGTTACCTGGTCTACTTTAAGGTGATTTGCAAACTAATACCTTGCTAATTGAAGCCATTAGAAGCAGACAGGCTTACCTACTACACGCCAAGAGTCTCTTCTTGCTCTGCTTCATTTGGCCTCACTTGCTCACTGTCCTGCCTGGAAAAAAAAGTGGGAGAGGAAGGCTGGAAGAGAGGGAAGAGCGTCCTCAGGTCAGAGGGATCCTCCTGTAACCAAGGGAAGTGGAGAACAGAGCGGCCTCAGCAGCCCTGCATGCCTTCCCCTGCAGTCAGCCCTCGGAGCAGGAAGCCTTGTTATTGAGCAGAATGGGGAGAAGTTGTGTCTAATCATGGGAGCACAGCGCGTTTGGATTGGGCCATTCTTAGAATGTCTGTCCTTCATCCCCGTAATTACGTTGATTGGGCAGGTTCAGGTTGTGCCAGACAGAAGTGGACAAACAACCGCAGCGCAAGTCAAAGCAGGGAGCAGCCGTTCCACTTGTTACCAGGTTTTTTCAGCAAAGAAATGATATAATTGATGTTGCTGAGCTGTGTATCACTGAAAACTTTGCTGTTTGTCCCACAGTAGCGTTTTGTATTGAGATGAGTCAGATTTCCTATGAATATTGCTAGCTTTGTGCTCCTGCAATAACGGTTTCAGGGAATTCACTCTAACAGGACTTCATGTTCTGTTTCCTCGTTTGCTTTTCAAAAGAATGATCCAGCAGCCCCCAGAGCAGATATGCTGTTGTGTAGCAGCAGCCATCTCCTCTCTCCTGTGCCTGTTCCAGGCTGCTGTCAGTGGGACCTCACAGTGCTGGGATTTTCCTGGAGCGTGTATTTCTCCAAGCAAGTTGGAAACACATTCTTGTGGTGTTATGACCAGGGCAAGCACTCATCGTTCTTGCTGCCATTTAAGAAGCGTTTCCCCAGAGCACAAAGCACGTGTTGCTTGCCTTTTTCAACGCAACTTCATGTGCAGTCCTTAATCAGAGGATTCCCAGATGAGCAGCCAACTCTGCTCGTTGGTTCGTGCTCTGAGATTGGAAAGCGGGCATTGGGTTTCTTGGTCTGGAGGCCCCGGGTAGGGGTGGCGCTGTGCAGCATTGTGGTGGCCAGGCCACTCAGAAGAGACTTCAAAATACAGAAACGACAACTTTAAGAATTAGCAGCAGTTATTTGGAGTTCCTCGAGGCCACGCGTTGCACACCTTGAGTGAATGCCACGGCGTGTTGTCAGGACGGTTCTGCTTTGAGTTTATTACTCTGCTTTGGAGAACTGCTGGAGGTGTCCCAGAGTGCATTCTTCAAAGAGTGTCTCACCTGCATTCTTGCCTCTCTGTTTTTCAGCTTGCACTGCACTCCTTGTGCAGGGCCCTGTCCAAAGGTTTGTGACTATGGGAAAGAGAAGACTATTGATTCGGTGACGTCGGCACAGGAGCTCCGTGGCTGCACAGTTGTTAATGGAAGCTTGGTTATAAATATCCGTGGAGGAAGTAAGTTGTGCATGAGTGAGGGTGTGGGGAGCACTGGATGTGAGATTGCTGAATATGACACCATCCATGACCTGGGGCATTGCTTTTTTGCTTTGACCATTTTGAATCGAGAGAGAAATGACAGCAGAGCAAATGTTCCTCTCACATTCGCGAGGGTTTTTTTGCTGAGTGATTTTTGTAAGGTCTTTTGGATTTACATAGAGTGGTTCCATTTCATCTCTTTGAGCTCTGATATCGGTGTTCCCCCCCGCATTATCAGAAAACTAAAAGCAATGTTTTCCTCTCCCTAGATAACATAGCAGCTGAGCTAGAAGCGAATCTTGGCTTGATAGAAGAAATCTCAGGTTACCTAAAAATCCGCCGGTCTTATGCCTTGGTTTCTCTTTCTTTTTTTCGTAAACTACATCTGATTAGAGGAGAAACACTGGAAGCTGGGTGAGTTCTTTCAAAAGATATCTGACTTTACTACTTTGAAGTGTCAGGAGTGCCAGTGCTTACCAGGGTGATTTGTATTGACAAACAATCCCCGCGTTGCTGTTAAACATTCCTCTGCCTGCGGATTGTGGCCTCCCAGGGAAGACAGTTTGCATTTCTTTTATGTGGTGTTTGGGGCAGGGGGTGGCATGTGGGGAAGGGCTGTTAGTAGATCCCCTACCGATGCACATTTTCCTTCCCTGCTTTCAGAAATTATTCATTCTACGCCTTGGACAACCAGAATCTTCGCCAGCTCTGGGACTGGAGTAAACACAACCTCACGATAGCACGAGGCAAACTCTTCTTCCATTATAATCCCAAACTGTGTTTGTCAGAAATACACAAGATGGAGGAGATCTCTGGAACTAAGGGGCGTCAGGAGAGGAACGACATAGCCCTGAAGACAAACGGTGACCAAGCTTCATGTAAGGAACTTTCAGAATGCATTGGCACTTGGATCATTTTTCTTTCCCTCTGTCTTTGCTAACTTCATGCTCTTAATGCCTTCAGCCTAGCGTGTGATTTTTGTCCAGGGACTGTCCTTGTCCTTTTGGTAAAGCACCAGGCATGTGACTGCCCACTTGCTTGTGCACCGCAGGGACGCTGTCAGCGTGCCATGAGTAAAGCCCTCCTGGGTGCTGCCCCTGGCCAGGAGCCCGCCTTGCCAGCTTCGGTCCTCAGAAGTTTTCTCTTTGTGTGCTCAGCTGTGAGATTTTCAGGGCTGAGTGTATTATTGTGTCGCTTTGAAGAGCTGAGCACAACATAACCTCAGCCCAAACCAGGACCTCGTGTTACTGCTGAGCACCCAGTTTATAGTCATCATCTGCTATTCCCACGTCATGAGGAGGCAAGAGGAACACAGAATAAGTTGCTATGACAACTCTCAGAATTTTTTTCCACAATTTGGACTGTGCTTTTCAGAGGTTTTTAAGCTAACAGTTTTTCCTTTGATGATAACAATAACCCAGTGCCTGTACTGGCGCGGCTAAAGAGCAGAGGGGCACTGGTGCTTGGTTCTCTAACTAAAGGCACAACACTGAAGGTGTAGTTTTGTAGACACATATTTTGGCAGCGGTGCTGCCAGTAGTGCATCCCTCCTGCACTGCCAGCTCTGCTGTTCATTGCCATTCTGTGCCACGTGCAATCCCCGCTGCCTGTGAAGCAGATCATACAGCTAATCTGGGGTAAAAAATGGCCATTTCTGCTTTGTTGTTCTTGTCTTTTTTGCATCTCTGCTCTGATTTGTTGTGTAGCCTCACACAGTTTTAATGCATGCAGGAACAGGATCAAGGACAGGGTGTTACAGGATCAGTAAGGTTGGAAGAGACCACTGAGGTCATCTGTTCCAACCATGAGGTGCTGATGAACGTATTGCCACTAAAGCCCCCAACATCTGTTAAGCTGTGGTTTCAGTTCCTTACACTCTTTTTACAGCTTGCATGCTTCCATCATCCTGTGGCTGCACTGCTTGTCTGTGTTTGGTGACAGCACTGCTTCAGTTCTACCCTTTTGTTATGCTGTGTAGCTGGTAGTGAACAAATACAACAACTGGAGATCTTTCAGCTGAATCATTTCCCTGATCTGGTTTGCCACATATCAACACATGCAGGCTTGCCAGCATGGTGGGGAGTGAGGAACATAATGACTGCCTACCTAAAAACTGCAAAAACACACATTGAGCCACAGCCTCAGGGCTATCACAGCCCTGCTTGGGCAGAGCGAAGGCAGCACAAGGAGTGAGCTGTCTGAAAAGGTCATCTCCTCCCTTGAGACAGCGGCGAGGCCTTCCCACACTCGGGATGAGGCTGGATTTGGGGTTCAGGTCCAGCTCTCCTGTGGCATTGCAGCTCCCAGGCTGGCTGGTTGCTTTGTGCTGGACCACACGGTCACATTTCTCTGTGCCAGCTTTAACCCTGCCTTGCTGTACTGCTCTCTGCGCCACCCCCCACCTCAGACCACACATTGCTGGTGTGTTTGGCTTTTTGATTTCATGGTTCAAGTCAAGTTTTCACATTGGCAGCATCCTGTTTACAAAAAAAAAACAAACAAACAAGAAACAACCAACTCCCAAACACAACACCTTGTTTGTGCTGGATGTGTGGACAGCAAAGTGAATGTTCTTCATCCCGTGTGCAGCTACTGCAGGAGTGGCAAATCCCATCAGGGCTGTGCAGTTTGTCCTTGGGCTGCGTGGACATTCTGTATGGTAATGCTTCCCTTGGGAATCAAAACTCCACCCCTCCTGCGACTGTTTGTTGTCCTGTGCTGCTGTTTGCAAAGGCAGCGTGCTGCTCCTGGGTCCATGCTGTGTCTTGTCTTGTGTACGTGGATTTTAAAGCACGTTGCCTTTAGATTTCACACTCAGTAGAACTCAGTTCAGCTTTTATAGGATTATTTTCATAGAATCATAGAAAAATGTAAGCTGGCAGGTTCTCATATTTTTCCCTGGAGGACTGAAAGTTCTACGATACTGAAAAACAAAAACAGAAAGCCTTGTTTTTCTCTTAGCATTAGCAAAATGATTGTCATCTCTTTTTTGTTATAGGTGAAAACGAATTGCTGAAGTTCTCTTCCATCAGAACATCTCACGACAAGATCCTGTTGAAGTGGGAGCCATATTGGCCTCCTGATTTCCGTGACCTCCTGGGATTTATGCTCTTTTACAAAGAGGCGTAAGTGGCAGCTCAGGGAGAGGGGAGCTTCAGCAGCCGATGGTTGGGCTGCAAAGCAGCAGCAGTGCTGGGCTTCCATAAATGACATCTGGCATTGAAGAGCAGACATTAATGCTGCTGTGCTCATAGCTAATTAGAAGTCAATCACAGAGACCACGCTTAAGCTTCCAGCGTTGCCCTTTTATATAAGTATTAATTAAGTTCTCTGACTGATTTGTATGAAGTCAAATACCCCATTTAAGAGCAACCCCAACATCAGTTGTTCCAGCTGTTCCAGGTGTAAGTATTCCAGCCATTTCCCCACTGCCTCCAGAGTTACTTATTCCCCTTTAGGTGGGAAGCACTTTTAAAAACCGGTTTTGCCAAACTGGTTTTCATACAGCTGAAAATAATCAGCTGAGATTGAGTTTGTCTGGGTTGTGGAGCAGTGCCTGATGCGCGGTGCTGGTAGGAGGCTGGGCTGCAAAGCTCCCTGTGCTTTATTTCCAGAATACACGGCACGCATAGGATGGGATAATTAGAATTTATCCAAGGGATAAGGGATGCCTTCAGAAATCTTGTCTCCAACGCCATGGTGTCAGGATTCTGTTAATTTGAGGCTTATTTTTGTTCGTTTTTAAGTCCGTACCAAAACGTGACGGAGTTTGATGGGCAGGATGCCTGCGGCTCCAACAGCTGGACAGTGGTGGATGTGGACCCGCCGCCGCGCTCCAACGAGCCCAAAGCCCAGGCCCAGCCAGGCTGGCTGCTGCGGGGCCTGAAGCCATGGACACAGTATGCTGTGTTTGTTAAAACTCTGGTCACCTTCTCAGATGAACGAAGGACGTACGGTGCGAAGAGTGAGATCATCTACGTCCAGACCAACGCTACAGGTCAGTGCCATTACGTTAACGTTGCACTGCAAATGGAAAGCTGACTTCTGGCAGGTGGTCACAGCAGTGCTGTGTCTGTGGCACTTTGCTCCCCTCTGTGGGAGGCTGTTCCTAAAGGAATGGAACGATGTGTGTTTCCCTGAGTGAGGAGAGAGCGCCGTTGTGCTCTTGTTCCATCAGGTCCTCGTGGCCATGGGTGAGAGCCCGTGTTCACTCCGTGTCCTGCTTTTGTTCCGTGGGAAAGGGAGCTCACTTGTGGAGTTGTCACAGAGCTGTGGAAGTGACCTCTGTCTCTTTTCCTCCCACACAGTTCCGTCAGTCCCATTAGATCCAATTTCTGTTTCCAACTCTTCATCCCAAATCATCCTGAAGTGGAAGCCGCCCTCAGAGCCCAATGGCAACATCACGCACTACCTGGTGTTCTGGCAGCAGCAGGCAGAAGACAGTGAGCTTTATGAACTCGATTACTGCTTGAAGGGTGAGTTCCAGTTCTCTCTCTGTGCCCTTCTTTCAGGCCTTCCAGATGGTGGAGCTCTCTCAGCATTTATGGGGATTTTTCACACACTTTGGAGATGCTCTGGAGCTGTTGTTCAGGAAGCAGTTTGAGGCACAGTTGTGTTATCCCTGTTCAGTTGTATTTACATTATTCTCTATTGCTGAGTCACGTGCAAAAGATCTTCAAAGCCTTCTTTTCACAAAGTAACCAAAACCCTCTTTTCACAAAGTAATCAAATACATATTTTTTGGATCTCCCTTCTGCACTTGTTTTTTTAAACTGAGCTACAAGTTTAATCTGTGGAGAAGCAAAGTGAAGCATTGCAATACTTCTGGGGATCAGTGGCCAAGTTAATTTTTGAAGGCATTTTGTGCCGTGGGGTTTGGAATGCTTTCAGGATCCACTGAGAAATCCCAGAATCTGGTGCCCCGTGTTCCCAAACTGAGGGGAGCAGAGGTAGAACTCTGACATCCGAGCTTCATTTCAGAGTTAGCACAGATCTGAATCAAAGCCCTGTCATAAGAGAGGGAATGTGAGCATGGATATGAAAGTGTGGGAGGCAGAATGTGCCGTGAATCTTGTGTACGCTCGTTTTGAACCTTGGTAGGATTGAACTTCTACTTCTGGCATGAATGACAGTAAAACTGTTTTGTCCATAGGATTAAAACTGCCCTCAAGGACGTGGTCTCCTCCTTTTGAATCTGAAGACCCTCAGAAGTACAACCAAAGCGAAAGTGAGGATGTCAGTGGAGAATGTTGTTCCTGCCCGAAAACCGACTCTCAGATCCAGAAGGAGCTGGAGGAGTCTGCGTTCCGCAAGACCTTTGAGAACTACCTTCACAACGAGGTGTTCGTCCCCAGGTACGAGCAGCAGCCGTGGCTGCATGCTGTGGGGTGGGAGCTGAGCTCTGCTCCTGCTGCTCTTGGGATTTGGAAGGTCACGCTCTGTCTTCTGTCTCTGAATTCTCCTCAGCTTGAGATCAAGGGCAGAATGCTCCACGAATATCTAAAGCCCGTAGCTCGCTGTAACTTGTGTGATGCCAGGAACAGCCTTTTTTTTTCCTGTCTTAAAATGTTGTGGTCACTTTTCATCCTGTGGAAAAGAAAGGAAAAGAAAAATGGAAGTTTTCCACGCCACAGCCTTGTCCTTCAGCGCGGTATTGCGGTCTTCCTCACGCTTACTGGGGGAAATACCTCCAGTACCACGAGGAGTGCAACTGCTGTGGGTGGTGAATGTCCTGTTCTGGATGGCACACACGGTGTCACATTAAGGGGTGTTGAATGTCTTCACACTTCATATGCAACTGACAAAGGGAGCACTGGGAATCAGGTTAGTCTGTAATGGTTTACCCCCTTCACTGTCATGTATTCTGTGCTCTAAATCTGTTCTCTGCTTCCTGCCCTTAGCTATTAAATGTTTCTTTGCAGCTGCCTGACAAAAGCTACCCTACTGCACTGAGTGTTGTTTATTATTTGAGTGCTTTCCTCTTCTCTGAGAGTCCGACTTGGTGCCTGCAGTTGTCCCATCACTCCTCTTGCAGCTTTTAGTGCTGATCAGAAGGACAGGTTTCAGTGTCAGGACACATCGTGTTTAAAAGCACAGGGGAAGCAAGCTGTGTACAAAGCCAAACTCCTCTTGATGTAGGCAGATGATTCTGACAATCTGATTTCTTTTTTTTCTTTTCTTTTTGTTTTATTTTAACCTTACTGCACAGCCAGCCCAGGATGCTTCTCAGGCCAATTTCTGGGGTATGTATTTTGGGAAGAAACCAATCACCAGGATGTGCCACCTTGTCAGCCTGCTAAGGAAGAAACCTCTACTGCCCCTAGACTGAATGATATTTTAAAAACAAACCCTTAAGTTGTGAGCAAGCAGTAAAGATATTGTTCTTCTGACGTGCATCCTGCATGTCTTTTCTGACAGGTTTCAGGCTGTGGCAGTGTGGATGAGTCTTGTTTTTTCTGTGCACAGTGCACCTATTGCCTGCCATAGGGCAGCCTGTCCACGGCGTGTTCTTTTTAATCATGCTCCCAACAGTTTCATCCTCTCTCAAGCACTGTGTGGCCTCCCCTTGAGATGAAAGCCTTCAGCTGGCCATGGGGAGGAAGCATGGAGATGAGGCCAGCAGAGAACAGAATGCTGCAGGGCTGCAGATTACAGCTGAGAAATTGCTCCCCTCCGTCTCATGGAATCACAGAATGCTTTGGGTTGGAAATGTCTCCAAGAAAGGGGCATCCACCACCTCTCTGGGCAACCTTGCCAGTGCTTCACCACCCTTACCATCAGGAACTTTTCCTTATATCCAGTCTAAATCTCCCCTCTTTCAGTGTGAAACCATTTCTCCTTGTCCCATTGCTCCTTCACTGCCTGCACAGCTAACTGGCTGCTCCAGGAGTCCATCACAAGTCTTGTGGGTCTGTTTGCTCTGGCAAAGCAAACTACAAGTGTCCAAATGCTTCATGCCATTCCCACTTTCCCAGTCAGAGCTACTGGATACCTTTTCACCGTGTGCTTTGTAACCTCCTTTAGCAGCTGAACAAAGTGGCCGTCAGCACCTGATGCTTTGTTTCTTCTTTCCTGTGTTATTGCTCTTACATTGGAACAAGTTTTGCAGAGATTGGAGCGGAAGGGCGATGGAAAGCAGTGCAGGTTGCCCAGGAGGGGAACCTCCAACCATCCGTGGAGGCATCACAGCCGGATGCCCTGAGCAGCTGCCCTGCTGTGTGCAGGGGCACATTGGAGGTGCTTTGCAGCCTCAGCAGCTCTGTGACTCTGTGGAAAGCATGGAAAGGTTTCAAAAGTAATAAAAGTCCTGAGAGGCAGAGGGGGAGTAACTGGCTGCTGCTCAGGATGTATTTTTGTGTCTGCTCCCAAGCGCTGCTACTGAAGAAGTAGCGTCACTCTTCTCTGTTGCCGTCCTTCTTTGTCAGTCTCTGTCACTCATTTCTGCCATTACAGATATTAGAGGGCTGCAGAGTGAATGAGGTCTGGGAAATGACTTGCATTGAAAGCAGCTTTCTTCTGGGCTTCCTCATCCATTCGTTGTATGGACAGACACACGACCTCGTGTGCTGGCATGGGGGAAGGCAGACTGGCAGCAGTGTCAGCCTGTGCTTGGTGCTGGTGTGTGGAAAAGAGAATTTGGCAAGAAAACAGCTGCAGGCCTTGGGTAATAAGTAAGGGAAGAGCTGCGTCTACAGCTCCTTGTATTTTACAGCGTGTTGCATCAGTGATCAGATAACTGATCTACTTGTGAAAAACAAAATTCCCCTGAGCTGGAGGAGCAGCTGAATCCACGCTTTGTAAGCAGCATTGTGCAGCTCTGCTGTGGGGAAGTGGGGGCCCAGAGCTCTGCCCTCTGCCCCTTCACTGGAGGGGGAGAGGGGGGGTGCTCACAATAACCTGTGCTGAGGTAACAGCAGCTCCAGAACGGTGCCTCTGGAGTTAATTAGTAATGAGACGGAGAGCAAATGAAAAGCTGGAATGCACCCTGCTGGCCCTGCCGCTTGGCAGCAGCGTCATCCCGCAGCAGCTGAGCGCCGTGTGTTGTTTGGAGGAGCTGCTGTGAGTGCTGTGTGGGATCCATCACACCAGGAGGCAGAAGTGGGGCGGTGCTCAGTCCGGCAGCAGAGCTTCCATCACTTGGTGCAATTTTAGAGGCTGGAGGTGCCTCAAGTGTGGGTTCAGCTCGGGTCGCTCTTTGTGCCCTTTAACAGCTGCACACACAGACGAAGATCATCGTTCCCTTAAAACACAGCCCTGTGTCACAGCAGTAATTCCTTCTGTGCAGCCATTGCTGATCCACCACATTGGTTGGGACCCGGCATTCCTGGTGGCGGTTCTGTTCTGATCCTTGTTCCTTTTGTTTCCAAGAAAATGACATTTCAGAGCAGTTCTTAATTCTGCCGAATTGATTCTGTGTGCTGGGTGCAGCGCATTGATGCGATCGCACACCACTTCTATTTTTCCAACAGCAAAAAATTGATTTTCAGACTGAAGTGCATCATTTGAGAAGCGACATTTGGTTGGCAAACAGCACAACCAGCGCGAGGTCTGAATCTGTGCCTTTTGCTTTGCACTGTTGAGAAGATCTGGATGTGTTTTGGTTTAGGAAGAGGTTAACGTAGTCTAAATGGACAAGTCCCAATGTGGTTTTATGACACCTGGGAGGTGTGGAACATCCCGGGTCACTGCAGCGGGGTCTGTGGGATGACCACATTTGCTCCCAGCCGAATGTGGAGGAGATGAACTCCCCGGGCATTGCAGCAGTGCTGTGTGCCATGAGGAGCTCCGGCAGAGCGTGGGTCCTCCAGCAAATCCCTTTGATGTGAGCTTTCCCTGTGTGCAGAGTTGTGCAGGGAAGGTGTCCCAGGGTTACATCCTTCTGTGCATTGCAGGGGCTGAGGTGGACTGCTTGCTTAGAAAACAAAACCAAAATGTGTTTCATGGCAAATATGGGTCTTATTTGAGTTTCCAGTTGCTCCCTGTGCTCTCCTGTTTTAACTCTTTGTTCTCAGATGGATGTGCTTGTATTGGATGTAGCAAATAACGTCATATTATTTAATAGGCCATCGAGGAAGAGAAGAGACCTGGGCTCCATTGCAAATGCCACCGTGGTGATCCCCACCATCCCGTCCTCTCCAAACTCTTCTGCAGCAGCATCTGAGAGCGCAGAGGAACAGAAACCTTTTGAAAAGGTGAAGTTCAAGGAGTCCCTGGTGATCTCCGGGCTGCGGCACTTCACGGGGTATCGCATTGAGCTCCATGCCTGTAACCACGATGCTCAGGAGTCCCGGTGCAGCGTTGCAGCTTATGTCAGTGCCAGGACCATGCCAGAAGGTAATGAGCTTGATGAGCTCTGCGTTGGGTAGCTGTTCCAAAATGCTGCTTTTCCTATGAGAGCTGCAGAAATACAGAACAGTAGAATCATTAAGGGTGGAAAAGACCACTGAGATCATCTGTTCTGACCACTGAGCCATCGCATCGTGTAGGACTGGTGCTCTGTATTTCCTAATGGGAAGGGATGTTGGATGAGGTTCTGTCTGTTTTGCAAAAGAGATGAAATAAGCGTCATTAATCCTGACCTTACTTTTAGCTAAGGCAGATGACATCGTTGGTCCAGTCACCCATGAACTGGTTGAAAAAAACACCGTGCACTTGAAGTGGCAGGAGCCCAAGGAGCCGAATGGCCTTATTGTGCTGTATGAAGTGAATTACGGCCGTCTGGGGGAAGCAGAGGTGAGAATTTCTGCTTGTTCCTTCGCACAGCACACATGGGAAGCAGCTTTGTGCTTCTCCCTGCTGCGGTGGCTGTGTTGGCGGAGGTGGTGGCTAACAGCAGGAAGCTGCACGGGGAGGGAGCTGTGCTTGTCTCCAGCCCTCCTTTTCCTTTGGCACACACCTCCTGTTGGCACCAGGCGTCGCGATGGATTTGCTCTGGTACCCGATTTGCCGACGTTCTGCATGGACTGTTTTTCAGCATTTCATTGCGCAGAAGGACAGGAGCTGGTTGTGTGCATCCGAATTGCTTAGAGAAATTAGGGAAGCGTTCAACAGGCAGAGGGCTGCTGGGTGCAGGCAGCCGTGCGGGCGGCGCGCTGCCAGCTCAGCTTGCGTTTCAGGGCTGAGGTGCGGAGCAGCAGGCGGCACACGCTGCATAATCTGAACTCCTGCACTGTAAAATACAAACCCAGGACAAACCGCTGCCTCAGAAAAGCCCTGAGCATGTGAAAACCCTATTTGTGTCCGTTTGCTCATCGAGGAGGCGAGGGAGAAATCCAGCATCCTGTTACAGAGCTGCAGGGCAGTAACACGAGGCGCCCTTCCCTCCTCCCGCAGGAAGCGCATTTCTGCGTGTCCAGAAAGCACTTTGCCAGCGAGCAGGGCTGCAAACTGCGCGGGCTGCAGCCTGGAAACTACAGCGTGCGGATCCGAGCGACGTCGCTGGCTGGGAACGGCTCCTGGACAGAGCCCACCTACTTCTACGTAGCTGATTACCGTGAGTTCTTTTGTCTTCCTCAGCATTTTAACCTTGGTAGGAGCCCGCATCGCTGCTGGATGCAGGCGGTGCACGGGGAGCTGCAGAGGCTCGTGGAATGTTTACCAGTGCGTCCGCTTGCAGTAAATCAGGGTTAGTGAGCAGTGTGTCTGTTTCCTTCCTTGAGCAGCACTCTGAGCTCTTGTTCTGATCCACGTTAACCTCTGTCAGCTCCACGTTCACTCCTGTTTATGCAAGGCAGAGATCTTACTGAATTCTGAGACCTGTGTTAATACCTCCAACTCTCTCTTTCTCTCTTAGTGAACGCTCAGCCTAATATTGCTGTTATAATTGTTCCGATTATTTTTGCCATAATCATTGCTGGAATTATTGGAGCTGCTTACGTGCTCGTGAAAAAGAGGTGAGTGCATCATTTCGGTCAGAACAAGCAGAACTTCCATCTAAAGATTCTTTTTATTTGTTGGAAGTAACTCTGTATTTATTTTCTAACTCAGATAATGATTGTAACATGAAGTTCTGGAAATGTTTTTGCATGTTTGCAAATTGGGATAGTTGCTGTTTGTTGCACACTGTGGGAATTAGTCAGATTCAGCTCGAATCTGAGCAGTGTGCAGTAAACAACCCTCGTCCCTCTTCCAGACAAACTGAAGGACCAACGGGGCCACTCTACGCGTCCTCTAACCCCGAATACCTCAGTGCCAGTGATGGTAAGAGCAAGGAGGGCTTCTGGGCCTTATTCAAGGTGGGGTTCTTATGGCTGCCTTTTGAAGCCCAGACCTCCACGCCCTGCGGTGCTGCTGCTGCAGCAAAGTCTTTTGAAAGGCTCTTGCTCAACCCATCCGTGTCTCTCGGCAGTGTACGTTCCTGATGAGTGGGAGGTCCCACGGGAGAAGATCGCTCTGCTCCGTGAGCTGGGCCAGGGCTCGTTTGGAATGGTGTACGAGGGCATTGCCAAGGACATCGTGAAGGGAGAGCTGGAGACCCGCGTGGCTGTGAAAACGGTGAACGAGTCGGCCAGCCTGCGGGAGCGCATCGAGTTCCTCAACGAAGCCTCTGTGATGAAAGGCTTCAGCTGCCATCACGTGGTAAGCGTCGCCGGCGGCTCTGATGGTGGCAAGTGAGAGCCCCATCCTATAATATTCCTTCAATGCTTTGAAAGCTCGATGTTCCAGTAACAAAAGCAGCCTTTCTGCAGAAGCAATTGATGAAGAGAGCTGGGATTTTCCATGCCTGATTTTATAAAGCACACCAAGCTCTTTGCATCATTTCCCTTTGCCCTGTCAGAAGTGCAGGCAGAGCCGTGGGTGCTGCTGCAGGCTCTTCTGCACGCTGGCTTTGTTCTCACAGCTGGGCTTTGCCCCGTGTGCTCTTACACAGCCCTGGCAGAACTTCTCCTTTGCTCTCAGGTTCGCCTCCTCGGGGTGGTCTCCAAGGGCCAACCCACGCTGGTGGTCATGGAGTTGATGGCACACGGGGACTTGAAAAGCTACCTGCGCTCTCTGAGACCCGACGCTGAGGTACGGACGGGGAGAGGCGGTGTGCTGTGGCACAGAGCAGCTCGGTTGGTGCTTTAACGCTGCTGTGTTTGTTGTAGAATAACCCTGGTCGTCCACCTCCAACACTGAGAGAAATGATCCAGATGGCTGCGGAGATCGCCGACGGCATGGCCTATCTGAATGCCAAAAAGTTTGTTCACAGAGATCTGGCAGCTCGGAACTGCATGGTTGCAGAGGACTTCACTGTAAAAATTGGAGGTATTCAGATCGCGGTCAGCAGACAATTCTGTGCGTCGTATTTGTGATGTGTGTGAAGCCCAGGCCCAAATCTTGCAGGTATCCAAGGCCACGGATGGGCCTCGGGCAGCCTGAGCTGCTGGGGGACACCCAGCCCTCGGCAGGGGTGGGACTGGGTGATCTTTAAGGTCCCTTCTGACCTGAGCCGTTCTGTGACAAGCCTTTTGAAAGTCATTTTCCTTCCACAAGAGCCAGTTTTTAACTGAAACCCATCTAGAATAAGTAAATATAAAATCCAAAAATAAGTGAAAACCCGACAACTTGGTGGTTTTTCAGACCTCTGTGGACATAAAGCCAAAGCAGTGGGATTATGGGCAAAAAGAACTCAGTTTAATTCAAAGGGATGAATAAAAATGGTGTTTAGAATAGAATCTGTCACTGAAAATTGTAACTTTGGAGCCTCTATCACAGCTCTGTAGTAATTAATAAAGGGAAAACTGTAGGGAAGAGGAGTTTTGAGTGTTAATGACAGGGTGAGCAGTGATGGCAAGTTGCATAGGAGCCCTGCTGGGAGTGTGGCAGTGGCCTGGTGCCCAAGGAAGGCATCAAGAGGTGTTGTACAGTGAAAGCAGCATGGAAGGAGAGGCATGAACACAGCCCCATTGCTTTTGTCAGACTTCGGCATGACCAGGGATATCTACGAGACGGATTATTACCGAAAGGGCGGCAAAGGGCTTCTGCCTGTGCGCTGGATGGCGCCCGAATCGCTGAAGGACGGCGTGTTCACAACGTACTCAGACGTGTGGTGAGTTGTGCTCAGCCAGGTGGATCCTGGATGGGAGGTTCACTGTTCTGACACACGTGGTGCAGGCAGAACACGGCCTTGTTCTGAAACCCTTTTCTTAAAATGCAGTAATTCTTGAAGATGTGTGTTGTCCAAAACAGGACTCAGCGTGGATCTCTGGGATGTTTCTCACCGGGAGTCTTGTTTCTTTCTTAGGTCATTTGGTGTTGTCCTGTGGGAGATCAGCAGCTTAGCAGAGCAGCCGTACCAGGGACTCTCCAACGAACAGGTGCTGAAGTTTGTGATGGATGGAGGATACCTGGATCAGCCGGACAACTGCCCAGAGAGGCTGTAAGTAGCGGAGCAGCGCCGGTCAGCAGAGCTGCACGCTGTGGGAAAAGCGTGGGCAACACAGGCAGCCCCACAGATGGCATTTCTGACCCACCTCTCTCCTGGGGAGAAACAAAGCAGAATTTAGTGAGCCACCTCTCAGAGACATTAATTAGAGCATCCTTAGTGAGACCAGCCCTTGACGCTGCAAGGGGAAATCAAACCAGCCTGGGGCCTACACTGTGAGTACAGACTGGAGAAAGTGAAATTCAAAGCACAGGAAAAGCTTAGAATGCAAGTAAGCATTGCATCAATAGCCCTAAAAGAGGACACTGTCTAAAGACAGAGTGCAAAGCTCCTCCCAGAGGGGGTGGCAGCCTGGAGCAGGCGTTCTGATGTATGGGGTTGGGGTTCCTGTCCCCCACTGCTTGTGATGTCCAGTGTCCATGGGCTGGCGGTGACTGCGTCCCCCAGCCGTACCCAGATGCTCCCTGAGCTGCTGCTGTTGAAGTGTTTAAAAAGAAATCCTGTAGGTAAGCGTTCAGCCTGAGCAGGGTGTTGGGACTGAAGGCTGTAAGGAGCCTCTGGAGCAGCGTGCAGAGTGATGGGAAGGAGCCCTGGCTGGGAAAGGGAATGCCAATAGTAGCTCCCTGTTCCCAGCAGCCTCTTACACATCCCACCGCTGGCCAAAGCAGTGCTCCCAGACTCAAAAATAAACATGTTTTGTGAGTACCTTTATGTAAAAAGCCTGCTGTCCTGGGGACTCGTCTCTCCTGCCTGGTGCAAACTCCAGTTTGAAACTTTTTTTGTACCTAGGAGATTTGTGAGTTTGTTCTTTGTGATACGGTAACACGTGACCTCTTGCTGCAGCCTTTCTCTTGGGTTTGTTGTTCACAGGGCCTCTGTCCTCTGCACAGCTTCCCCTTTTCCGTGTGGCTGTAGAAACTTTCAGGCTGTGTTAAGATTGAATGAATTAAAAATTGTGAGATGGCTCTAAGAGTGCACACACACACACATGGAGTGCACGAACTGCAGCCCTGCATCGTTTGGAAGCTGAGTCAGGAACAGTGGAAGGGATTGGAAGGAATTTTTAATCTAGACAGAAATAGAGAAAAAGCAGGGAGAGGACGAATGGGAAAATGGAGACGGGAAACAGAGCCGAGGCCTCGGCTGGAGTGGGAGTGAGGGGTCGGGGAGCAGCAGGGCAGCCCTGCTCTGTGTGTTTCTGCCAGTCGTGGAATTGTTTCTTCCAATGCCCGACTCTCGTTTGCCCTCACCAGGCACAACCTGATGCAGATGTGCTGGCAGTACAACCCCAAGATGCGCCCCACCTTCATTGAGGTCATTGAGATGCTGAAGGAGGATTTGCACCCCAGCTTCCAAGAGGTTTCCTTCTTCTACAGCGAGGAGAACAAACCTCTGGAAACAGAGGAGTATGAGATGGACTTCGAGAACATGGAGAGCATCCCCCTCGACCCCTCCTCGTACACACAGAGGGACAAAGCCCTGGGGAGGGACAACGGGCCCTCCATGGCCCTCAAGGGGAACTACGAGGAGCACATACCTTACACTCACATGAACGGTGGCAAGAAGAACGGGCGGATCCTCTCCATGCCCAGGTCGAGTCCTTCCTAACGCCTCCCGTGGCCCAAGGGTTGTGTCTGCTTTTCTCCCCTCCACGAATCTCAGGACTCTTTGTTATTGCTGCCGCAGTGTATGACACACATCTACAGACTCTTCAGATTTTTAATCATCTTATGATTAATACTTTTTTTTTTTTCCCTTTTTTTGCCAAGTTGACTGGTTGTCAGTGGACTTATCTGTGAACATAAATGGAAGAGGTTTCCATGGCTGCTCTCCTTTCTGTAACCATGGTTTCAAAACAGGAAGCGACCGTGTCAGTTCAGCTGAAGGAGGAGCATCTGCGTTTGCCAACAACAGCCGTGAAATTCGCCGCTCTCTGAGCTGCGGTGTAACGGTGTGGAACAAACCTCAGCGGGGCAGCAACGTCCCCAGGAGAATTCCAGGCTTCAGGCATCCTCGTCACTACAGCCGAAGGTTCGACACCGCGGTCGGACGCGCCAGATCCTCAGATTGACCAAGAGCTGCTGCTTTCGTACTTTTTCCATGGGTTAAAGCCCAGGGGTGCGTGCGTGTGCGTGCGTGTGTGCAGTATACATATGTGGGGTGTATATGTATAGCAAAATATACACTTCTGGTTTTTGTACATAAGTTTTGTATGTTCTCACGGAAGCTTTCCTCTTCTCGGAAGCGTGTACTTCTCTTTCTCCCGTTTCCCTGGAGTGACCGAATCCTACACAGATTATTTTTATACTGAGGACTCTTGGGAGTAGGTTTTCTCTCATTAATAAATGAGGAAAATATGCTGAGAGCCAAAGGAGCAGAAATCTGAGATTTATGGGTCCTTTCAAGACCAAACGAAGGAGGAGTCCCCAGACCTGAGAAACCGTTTTCTGTCCTTACAGCATCGAGTATATATATTGTTTGTTGTAACATATTTAAAATGTCTTTAGTTTAAATTTTAACTTCATATAAATTATTGACTGTTTATGGTCCTTTCGAGGAGGGGAGAGTTCGGGGGACTGTTTGGTCTTAAAGTGGTCCAAAGATTTCAGAAGGAACTAATTTTAGCCGGTTACCCTTTTAGGAGCTCTGAAGTACATGTTAGGTTTATACTTGACAAGGCTTTGTAAAACACTTTCAAGATTTATACAGTGCAGCGCATCGGCCCAGCACTGCGGAGCGGTGGTGGCTCTGGTTGGGCTGTGGGGCGCCGCCGTGCGCTGCTGCTGCTGCTGCTGCTGCTTCACCTCGCTGCCCTCGTGCCTCCCGGGGCGCCGTGCCACAGCCGGGGGGCTGCAGGAGACGCGGATGGGGCGAGTGGGGCCCTGCGTGGAGCGGGGCCTGGATGGGACTCAGCCCCCCCCCCCCCCCCCCCGGCCGTGCGTTGGTGGGGAACGTCGACTTTGGTCCGTATGGACCGAGCTTTGTTCTGCTGCTGTTTGCATGAAGGCTGATAAGCACAAAGCGTCGGAAAATAACCGCGAAACGAAACGCGTCTCACTCTGATGAGGGAGCAGGGAGATGCTGAGAGCAAAATGCAAAGGTTACCAGCAGGGAGCCCAGAGCCCCGCTGTGCCAGCAGGACGCCGTGGGGTCGGGGCACTGCGAGCAGCCGCGTGTGGGGCAGCCTCTGCTTTCCAAAGGCCTCGTTTACATTTCTTGTGCTTTACCACGTAGTCACTGTTACCCAGCAGCTCTGTGCTACACTGCAGGAAAGAAGACATATTCTCACACTTTTCTAAGGAAGAGAAGTTTTTCTTACTAGAATTTTTTTATTTATTTTAATATATAGAACACTGTTAAAAAAAGAAAAAAAAAAAAGAAAAAAAAAAAAAAAGCTAAATCAATTTGCTGAAGAAAACACGCAGAATCTGTAAATTTGTATCCGTGAAATTGGGGCAGGTGGGTGCGGTGGGGTCGTTTTGTCCTGTTGTGGTGCAGTCTACCTCAGTGTTTCTTAAGGCTATTTTTAATACTGCGCACCTCAAAACCTGTTCTGATGTTGTGGGCTGGACCTGTTGAGGGTCGGCGAAAGCAGTATCAGCTGATCCCAAATCTGGGGCCGGAAGGGAGCGGATGGAGCAGCTCCATCACTGCTGATCGCTGCTGTTAGTCGTAGTGACCAAAGGAAACTGCTTCCAGCTCCGAATGCGCAGCAGCAAATTTGGATCTGATACTCTGATATCATCTTAGTTCTGTTGTGATTGGAAAAGAAAACAAACACTAAAACAGACCCATTGAAATGGACGTTGTGAACAGAGGGGCAGGCGGCAGCCGCCTGCAGTGAGCCCTCCCTGTTGTTCTGACATCTTAAACCGCAGTGGCTGTAACTGCAGGAATAGAGCACTGTTTGCACCGGGCCTGTGCTGCCTCTGGCTCCGCAGCTCGGCTGATGCCCGTTGGCTCTGTGGGCACACGCAGCGCTGCAGTGCTGTGCGTTGGACCTTGCAGTCGTCCTCACTGAGAGCAGCAGTGGTTGGACCCAGCGCTGTGCACGGCAGCCCCACTGCTGTCCTTCCTGCGTTGCTCCTGGCCAGGAGCGGTGTGGGGCAGCCAAGGGAGGACATCCTCAGCCGCAGCGCTCCGCCCTGATGGAAACAAACAGCCCCAACTGCCACTCGTTGGCTGTAAAAGATGATGCTCAGCTGCGGGATTAGGAAGAGCAAAGGAACGTCATCATAGAGCCCAGCTCGGAGTTCGGGAAAACCCTCTGCAACCAGCTGCCACGTGAGGCCCTCCCTGCAGGGCAGCTCAGCATGGTGCAGGGTGCTCCGCTGCCGTCCCAGCACAGAGCTGCATGCACTGGGGAGCAGCCGCAGCCCTGTGGGAGCTGCAAGAGGTGCCCCGAGCAGCCGCAGCATCGCGGCTTTGAAAGCCCACAGAGCAGGAAGCCACGGCACTGCTTTGCTGTGTGCTGTCAGCAGGTGTTGTTGTGGGGGCTGGAGAGGTCCCAGAAACATTGGTTCCATTCACTGCCCGTCTCCCAGACGCCTCTTGCAAACCCGGTTCTTCTCTTGCCGTACAGTGCAGCATTGCAAAGCTTGTCTGCGAGGCTAAAAGCCCAGCGTGGCTGCTTGTAAATACTGATTGTGTTGTAAAATAGAAGAGCTCATTGTGTGATATTGCAAACTGTGTGCCAGCTCTGGGTGGGGAAATGTGGTAGGAAATAGACCAAGCTGCGAGGAGGGCATGCTGTGCGGTGTGCATAGGGAAGAGGCTGCTCGATGGTTGCTGTAGGGTACTCAAAATTGGTGGGTAGTAGATCTCTTTCCTCCTAAATTTGTATTATAGTAATGGGGCACTTTGCTTAATTTTACTTTTGTTGTGTTTAATGTTGGTATCTCTTTGGAAAACGTTGCTTACTGTGTTACTGACTGAAGGGTGATGAAGGAGAATGGCAAAGAGGAGCAGGAAGGGGCTGTGGCAGTTATCTCCAAGCCCCCATGGTAGGGGTGGCAGAGAGCCCATGGGTTCCCTGAACATGGCTGCGATGCGGATCCGGACCCTGAGGTCCTCCAGGGCTGTCAGTGCCAGCAGTGACACCCAGCAGTGAGCCTGGCCTCTCGCAGAGAGGAGGATGCATTGTGCCCCAGCACCGCGCTGTGCGCCGGGGGAAGGGGCTCTCGGATGGGTTGGAAGCGACTTCAGAAGTGTGTGAAATTCAAAGCAGGATTCGTTCAGCATCCGTATGAACTGAATTAATTTGGCCTTTTTATCAGCTTCTGCTTGCTCTGTGGTGGCTCCGCTCAGACGGACGTGTGGAGGAATGGGACTTTTCAATGCAATTTGGGAGCTGCCGGTTTTACCAGATCTGCTGTCGTTCAGTGTGCATTTCTTTTTACAGTTAAATTGCTTGTCCTTCTCAAAAGTAAGCACTTACTCTCGCAGGTTCAGCAAAATAACTGCAGCACAATGCAAGCGATAGGGGGACGGGTCGAGAAATGACTTTTAAAATCTTGTATAATAAAGTTAGTATCAACTCCTACAGCATGGTCACGTTCTTTGCCTATGTGCAGGGCTGCAGCACAGGGTGGGGGCTCAGCAAAGCTCTGCTGACCCCCTGACGGCTCCCACTGTGCAGCACTGGGTGGGTTTGCAGCCCCAGCGCTGGCGCTCATTGAGCTCTGTGTTGCCCAGCATTCTGAGCCGGGCCTCTTCCCAAAGCCTCCAAACCGTCCCTGAAAGTCTCTTCAAACCACCGTTGTTTCCAAACGCTTCTCCCATCACCTGCAAAGCAGCCGCTGACGACTCTCAGGCTGTTTGAAAAAGGTGATGAAAACGCTGCATTTTGGTGTTGTTTGCAAAGCGCTGCTGTTTGTGGGGCGGCGGAGTCCAACGCAGCCAAAAGCGCCCTGAGTGCTGTGGCAGAGCTTCGCTGTGCTGCTCCCACCTTCCTCACCGCCTGTCTGAGCTCACAGCATGCTGACTGCATTGCAGTTCGCATTGCAGACCCGTCTTGTATGAAATAAAGGATCAAATGTGCCATGATTAAAAAGAAAAACAGAAAAAACCCTCAAAGCCTCCCCTTTATTTTATCGCTTTCATATGTAAGAGCTGAGCAGTGACGTGTACAGAAAATAACATTGAGTATGAAGAGAACACCCTTGCTGTGTGACAGAATGTTGAGCAATTGACGGTTTATATTAAAATTCTGAATAAATTATCCAAGAATAACTTCCATTTGGTTTCCGCTGTCTCTGCAGCAACAAAGGCTGCTTTACCACAGGGAAAACTCTGAGCTCCTAGCTGAGAGCATGCGATGCTTTCGGCTACAAAATGAGTGGTGTAAGGCCCAAAGAGCCACGGGGCTCAGCTCAAGGCTCAGCTCAAGGCTCAGCTCAGGGCTCAGCTTGGGGCTCAGAGGCTCCCCACCCTGTGCCATGAATTGCCAGTGTGAGCAACGTGGCGGAGTCCTTGTGAAGAACGCTCCTTCTTTTGAGAGGTGGTGGCCACCCCCGATGGCTCTCCCCACCCCGGTTGGTCTGCGGTGAATTCCAGCGCTGTGATGTGCAGTGATGTCCATCAGCAGAGATTGTGCAGAGCTGATGCCACCTAGTGCTGCCGTGCATCCAGCCGTGGCGCTGGATGGGGCCAAGTGCAGCCTCTGAGCCCATCTGGAGTTCTGTCATTGGAAGAGCGATGAGAAAGGAGCATACTTGAAGATGTCTGGGAATTGCATCTCCAGACACAGGCTTGCACTCAGGGGATGCAAACACAGCGTGGCCTTGCTGTCGCAGAGGTCTGCAGGCGGCGATGCGGGCGCTGGTGTCTGTGTCCCTCATCGCTCCTCCAGGTGCGCCGCTTCACTCAGCCCCAAACCACGTCTGTGGATGGAGGGGATGAGCTCTGATCCTCACTCGGTTGGGGTCACTGCGCCGTCCCTCCCGTCGGCCCGGTGTCTGAGCAGCCCTGCTGTGACACATTGTGCTCTTGTGGACTTAGAGAAACGAAACCTTAATTCCTCTTTGCTCTTGTGGTTTCCTGGAGCACGGGGTAATTGCTATCCCAAGCGTTGCCAAAGCTGCGGTCTCTGAGTAATTGGAGTGTGAGCTGATCTTGTTCTGATTAGGGCTTGGCTGAGGCCAGCGTGTGCATGGGGCTGCAGGGAGAGGTGCATGCGTGGGGCTCAGTGGCACAGAGCGAACGGCCGCCGCCATCATCTCTGTGCTTTGGTTCCTCCCATTGCTTCAGTACCAGGTCAGGGACTGCTGGGCCGGGGTTCTGCCAGCGCACAGCCCTGGGAGCCCACGGTGCGAGGAGCCACGGGCACAGCTTGTGCGTGCCGGGCTCACACTGCAGAGCACGCAGAGCACTTCTTCTCCGAACGGAACAGGAAGCCGTTTGCTGCAACCGCAGTCGCCGTGCCCAGCACCGCTTAGCAGCTCCCAGGACCCCGCAGGGGGCGGTTTGGGGTGCACGACTCCGGAAGGGGCGGCCGGACCCCCACGGCCCCATCCCCTGCCATAGGGCCACCATTGAAGGAGCAGCGGTATGGGTGCGGCTTCGGAAAGGGGAAGCGGTGAAGCGGTGCAGCCCGAGGCCCCCGCGAGCCGCCCGGCGGTGTGGATCTTCCTTCCTCAATGAGGGGCTGCTGCTCGCGGTGCACCTGCAGGATCCGGGCTGCGGGGTGCGGCTGTGCTGTGCGGGGACTTTGCTGGAGGTGCCCGCGGCCCTCAGGGTGAGTTGCTGTCCTCCTCCAGGGTGTGTTGTGTGAGCTCCATCTCAGGGTTGTTGCGCGGCTTCCTCGAGGCTCTGTGCGGAAGCAGCTTCACCCCAGCGCTGGGAGATTGGGGTTTAACCCATAGGGAGCTCCCGGTTCCCTTTGGTGGCACTGGGCTCTGAGCCCCCTGTGGCTGTGCCCCCAAGTGATGGGTGGATCCCTGCTATAGCTGAATGGGTGGCGATGCTTTGGGGTTTGCAGCTGGGTGGAGAAATGCTCTTTGCCATCCACCCCTGTGCGACACCATCCCAAAGCAAGCCCCAGCCTTGCAAGGCTGCAATCTGCACAGCAGGAGAGAGTCCTGCAGGCCAGCAGCAGCACAAGGGTGAAATCAGGCTCTGTCAGCACAGTGAGGGGTTGGGAGCAGAGCCTGGAGCCAGTTTGTGCTGGGGGAGCTGATGGCAATGGGGCTCAGACACGGCAAGATGGGATTTTGGTGTCTGGGGGCAGATTGGAGTTGGCTCCCACTGACCTCAGAGTGCCCCCAGATGACAGAGTGGAGCAGGGAGCTCGGGGCAGGTTTGGGTGCACGTGTTCTGCTTCCACCTGCATCCATCAACCAGCGCTCCAGGGCTCTGTGTGCCGTGGGGTCACCAATCCTCAGCCTCCGCCGCAGGAAGTCCCAGAGCTGTCACACAGGTGGGAACGCCGGAGAGCAGGAATTTCTCTCTGGCTGCAGCTCCCATCAGCTGATACTTCTGACAAAACACTTGGCTGCTCCACTCCCCCCTTGGCAGCCCCTGGGCTGCAGCTTGCAGCGCTGCCTTAGACTTGCACCGAGCTCCGCTGTGCTCTGTGCCGTCCTCTCCGGCTCAGGGCTGTCCATACGTGGGGCTCAGGGGGTGCCCCGATGTCGGACTCACTGCTCAACCACTCCTGGCCGTCGTTCTCCAAGCGCTGGAAGAAGAGATGGTCCTTTAAACGAGGTAACAGCGTGTGTGTGGGGAGAGAGGGCTGAGCCGCGTGGGGCGGAGGGGACAGCAGGGAGCTCGGGGTCCCCCAGCGCCGGTGCCCACTGCTCCTCTCTGCGGGGACGCTGCTTACGTGTCAGTTTCTGCCGATCCTTCCGCTGCGGATCCTTCTCAAGGCACGTCAATGCCTTTGTGCGCTGGCTAATGGGTTAAATATCAGTCTTCTGGTTTTGTAATAAATACGTTTTGTTGCTGCCAGCGAGCCGGAGGTCCCAGAGCCTTCAGGCAGCTGTCTGTGTGCTGCCGGCCGAGGGCTGAGCCTCGTGTTGTGTGCTCAGAGTTTGGTGTCCCAGGAGATGTTGGGCAAAACGCTCCTGCAGCCTGAGAATGGGCTGAGGAGCCTTGGGCCAGGTCATGGTGGCTTTTGGGATGGGAAATCCAGTGGTCATGTAAGCTGGCCTCATTGCTGCACAGAGCTGCAACTTGAAAAGGGAGAGGGGAGAGCCCCAGAACAGGAGATGTCCATGATCCCAGAGGAGCTGGACACTGCCGTTCTCACTGCAAACTTTGCTCTAGGCCCAACACTTTTGGGTACGGTTATCTGTGTGGCATTAGAGCTTGAGACACACATCACTGCTTTTCTCTCCAAACTGCCTGGTTTGGAGCAGGAGCAGCCCCCAGCCCTGCACTGGGGCACTCCACACCGTGCTGGGCTCACTGCAAAGGCTCAACCAGGCTCCCTGTGCAAAATACATCAGCCTCAGTGCCCACAAGTACCGACCGCTCTGAGGAGCATCCCCAGCACAGCTGTGCTGAGCTCAATGCGTGGGCAGGACTGTGGCCAGGAAGGGATCGGGGGCTGCGAACCCCTCTCAGCCCTGCTGAGCCCCCCTAGCTGCCTCCCCAGTCGCTTGGCCCCGCGTGCCCGGAGCACCAGGTCCCAAAGGTAGCGATAAGGCTGCTTGCTGTGCAGCCTGCTGCAGCATTGGACAGCTTATCTTCTCCCCTCCTTCAGCCCCGGTCGCATGAGCCAATCCCCACCTCTGCCAGCACACGATGAGCTGGGGCCCGGCGCGGGCAAAGTGCTGCGCTTTATCCGATTTTGGCACAGTGAGCTCAGCACTTCTTTGCAGTTCAACACCCCTCTCGTTCTGATCATCCCGTGGGGCTGTGCTGGGCCAGCGGGGCAGAGCCAGGGGGACCAAATGCTGCTCTGTTCCTATCTGTGATGCCTTCAGAGCTTAGCAGCAGCCTCTATCCCCATTTGCTGGGAAATGCCCAGCTTTGTTCTGCTTTCTTCTTCCTTCTGGACTCAGCTGTTGGGTCCCACTGTCCCAGTGGCACCAAACACCCCAGACTGCTGTGTGCTGGGGACGCTGGCCGCCACTTCCTTCCTCCCCAGGCAGAAGCCCAGCATCTCCACGTTCTGCAAAGTCCAGCCCAGCACTGCCCCACTCGTGTGCAATGCTTTGTCCCCAGCTCTGCCCTGGGAATTCCTCTGGTGAAGCTGCTCCCTGCAGCAATAACCTTTTATGGTTCCTGGCCAGAGGCGAATTAAGCAACTGCAATACCTAATCTGCTTAATGTTCCCCTACACCAAACAGCGTGTGCTCTTGGAAGTGTCATTTTGTCATCTCATCTCCAGCTTCAGCAGAGGAAACGTGAAGACAGGTGCCTGGCTGTGCTGGGGAGCTGCAGGGCCATTCCCCAAGCACCTTGCGGTAGCAAGATGGAGCAGCATCCCTCCAACAGCCAGGCAGGGCCTTGGGGTGTGCCCTTGCTGCTGGTAGAGGGGTGACCACGTCCATCTCAGACACAGGGATGCTCCCAGCTCCTGTATGCTCCTTCCTTGTT